GGGCAAAGTAGCTGAGACACCTGGGTTAACACCAGTACTCTTCGTGGTCACGCAATAAAGACCTCAGCCTGTTGTCTCATCGGAAGGATAGGACCTTCTACACTTCGATACATCCTGTCACCCACAGAGCTGAGAACTGGATCAGAATTAAGAGTGCCTCCTGCTGGTCCCCAAACGCACTTACAGCAGCAACCTGCGTTTCCTTAGTTATCGCACCACAGCCCAGGTCTGCCCTTGCTTATGTTCTCAAATCTGACAGAATCAAAATATATGGTGGTAAAGTTGTCTATTCTTTCATTAACCTTCTTTTTAAATCTGTGTAATGATAGGAATGAGGGGACGTTTTACTTAAAAACACCAAATTAAATATGTGTGATCAATTTTTCTATCAGTCCTACCCCTGACTCTGAATCACGGAGAAGTAAAACAATTTTGTCTGGACTTTGATTTGAATAAATACCTCTTGAACACAACAAATCAAAGACTCTTGAGTCTTTGTTTCTTTTTCCTTTTCCGTTTTTCCTTTTCCTTTTTCTTTATCTGGAGTTATGTAATAGAAGATATTGTTGTTTTAAGTCAATTTAAAGTTTATTTTTATATACAATACCATATATTGCATTTCATACTGTAGTATTGTATGTTATTTAGAACCAAGTTATGTCAGTAGCTTAATGGCATTCGTTGTTAAACACATTTACAGAATTCAGATTTTTAAAAACTTTGTATATTGCTAATGCATACTTTAGTGTAGTAGAATGCGTCCTTAAAAATACAAAAATGATCTACTTTTATGTTTATAGGATTTGAACACAGAAATGATTTAATGGGGATTTCAGAAACATGGACATGTCCCCCTAATATTCTGCCAAACATTTCATTCACCTTTCATCACTATCATCAATAACATATTGTTTTTATAAAAGAAGTGACCACCTCAATGAAGGCAATATTGCACAAAGACCTCTGGAAAAATCTCCTAGGGATATATCCCTAAGACTAACTAAATATGACCATTGGACGATATAGTATATATTTCAAAGTTATCCCAAATCCATTTTTAGGACAGGACATATTGAAATAATATTACACATTTAATGCAATATATCATTAAACAGAAAATATTCACAGAAAAGCAAGACCTTGCATTGTAACTGAAACATTTCTGAAATATTTCTCATTTAATGCTCACATATCTTGTACATGAAATCTGCAGTGCTGTTTGTTTCGATATCCTAGTTTAAAACGACTTAACCGCTCTTTCAGTAAGTGGCAACTTTGATTCTGGACACACAGGTGTTTGTATGTGTCTTTCCGTCACCAGCTCCTTGCAGCTCTTTAACAATGCAACGTGAGTTCATTTTAGTATATCTAAACCATCACGTCAGTCGCAAATGTAATAATAATATACGCAAAATAATAGTAGTAATGATTTTTGCTTAAAATATGTATAGTTAATTTTACACTTAATTGTTTGGTTTAGTGTAAATTAGATATGTTTCCCTTTTTGTTGTCCCCTACAACTTTTCTTGAGAAGCATCATCGCATTTTTTGATGTGAAATAAACCTTAGGCAAAATGTACCAGTTGGTTTAAACCTCAGCATGACACAGAGCTTCAAAATATACATCACAATCACTTGTTTCATGCAGCCTGTCGGTGAAGAACAAAACATGCCTTTCCTCAAGTTATTTATTTTCATTGGCAGTCATATTTCCTCGTTTGGGAATTTGTGGGAAAAAAAACTTTCTTCACATACTCTCACTTTTCGCCTCTAGTGTCGTTTAAAAACGACATGCTTCAAGGTGAAATAATTAGCAAAGTAAATTAACAAAGTAATACAATTCTATTTTCTATATACATATTTAGAAAACTCCCTATTCTTAATATGTTTAATAAGGAATTAAGCTCACCACAACTTTCTTTAGTTATGATACAAATTACAGTACATATGTTCCTATTTGATGTCATACCAACTACACTAGTGACTTTCATATTATATACGGCCAAAGAACTCAAAGAACCGAATAAAAAAATCACATGAAAAATTAGCACATCATTATCAGATTGGATGCTTTATTATGTAGCTCAAGTTAAAAAAAAATTCCGCTTTGAATTTCTTTTAAGATACCACTCGTGGGGCACCATTTTATGCTTCCGCGGTTCTCGCATCATTTTTAATGATAAAACATGTTATGGCGCTCTCTGGTGGATTCCTCGCCGTATTGTCCTAGTTTGTGTGGTTAAGAAATCTGAAACGAAATAATTTTCTGAT